CCAGGTGCCCCTCCAGTTCCATTTTAAATTGAACTCCTTTCTTTTTTTTTTTTTTAAGATTTTATTTATTTATTTGATAGACAGAGATCACAAGTAGGTAAAGAGGCAGGCAGAGAGATTGGAAGGGAATTAGGCTCCCTGCTGAGCAGAGAGCCCAATGCAGTGCTTGATCCCAGGGCCCTGGGATCATGACCTGAGCTGAAGGCAGGGGCTTTAACCTACTGAGTCACCCAGGTGCCCCTAAATTGAACTCCTTTCACAGAATGTTTAGGGTAGAAAACCACTTCTTATTTGAAATTTATGCAGACTATATATAGATTTGTTTCAATTTCAAAGCATAGTGGGGAAAAATGTTTTAATTGGAGGGAAAAATACCTGGAAATACCAAAAGTTGGACAAGTATGTGTGGGAGATCATTGCCTTTATAGTACAATGTACAGTGGGGAGAACAGTTAGAAAAGAAGCCCAAAAAGTAGATGAAAGTTTTCTGTGACATGTATCTAGGACAAAAGGATCAAAATTATCAGAACTTTTTTTGGGCCAGATGTTGTGTCTGTGACAGTTTAGTCAGGCTGGATCAGCAATCAGCATTGCTCATAATACAAAATACTAAGCTTCAATGGAAATAAATGTATTTTATTAAACTCTACATTTTGGCACCTTTTAATATTTCTTTTAATAGAAATCTTTTTGTTTTAAGTAGTTCTTGGAAATAATGCTTTTACAGTTAAATACTGTAAGTAAATATCACTAAATGCACCTTTTGGAAATTACGTTTCTCTAAAAGTCACTTTTAGAAGTTATTGTGAGCCATTGGCATCTGGGAGATACTTTTGAATAGTTGAATAGTCTTTGCCATTTATCATCTAACTTAAGTAAGTCCTTTGCCTTTTATTACCATTAAAACATTAATATAATCCTCCTCCAATGTTGAAACCATAACCCCCAAGTGACTATATTAGGAGCTAGGCTTTTAAAGAGGTAATTAAGGTTTAATGAGGTCATTAGGATGGGGTCCTACACTATGAGAACTGGCTTCCTTTTAAGAGGAATAGACATCAACACTGTGCTCACCAGGGGGAAGAGGACATGTGAGGACACAGCTAGGTGGCCCATCCACAAGCCAGGGAGCCGGACCGTGTACCACCAAACCTGTCGACACCTTCATCTTCAACTTCCAGCATCCAGAACTGTGAGAAAGTACGTTTTTGTTGTTTAAGCCAACCAGTCTATGGTACTTATGTTACAGTGTTACTGCGGTCCTGGCGGACTAGCACAGCTCTCATGTAATGTGCTCTCTTCACCAAATACATAAACAACTATTAGGGTACGGAGTTGACCACCCCTCAATTAGACAGAGAACACTCTCGATAATGCAAGTCACACAGCGAGGTTTATTTCCAGATAGCTGGGGTCCAAGTATCTGCCCAGCGCAGTGGGTTTCAACAAGGACCCCGAGCACTCAAAGCCAAGGGTTTATATAGCATTTTTTAAAAACATCCAACTCACGGTAATTTCCCATCACTTCAGAGACCATACATACTTTCGGCTTGCGCCCCCCTGGTGGTTTAGTAAGATAAGCTCTTTTCTAACATCTGGTCCCCGTGGCGCAACCGCCTACCTTCCCTGATGGTTTGAGCTGATTAGCTGTTGCCGGGGTGTTGCAGGGTAGGGTACTTTCTTGGAACTAAAGCAGGGTGGGGGGGTCCCTGGAACTAAAGTAAAGTAGGGGAGAGTTCAGTCCTTGGGCCTGAGATGGCTGCCCAAGCTAAGATGGCTGTACTTATGCTAACCCACTCTTACACAACAAGGCTCAAAGTATGAAGAGATATAGTTAAGGGGACACAATTGATAAATTCAGAAAGTGCTATGAAGATATAAGTCAGCTTTTTTAAAAACTGGGAGGGATTCAGTTTGGAGGTTCCTATTTCGTTTCCACTTCCGTTAGAAGCCAAAACGTAGCTCTGGTTTGCAAAGTCCAAACAAGAAGCCTGGTCCTGAAAGTCAGGCTTTAAAACTCTCAGTATCCCCTTTATTTCCTACATACATGTTTGCAGGGTATAACTTCAGAGTAACAGGGTCTGACTTACTGTCCTATCATAGTAAACTATAAAACTATATAAAATACAAGTGGCTGAGTCCTTTTAGGAGCTGTCCTTGGGCAAGAGTTGATCTGAAACTTCATGCTAAGCTCTCTTGTTACCTCTCGCCACAGAGGTGGAGACCCTCACTATCATGTCAAAGGACAAGTGCACACAGGTGCCATGGGCCACTGAATCCCAGCTTTCAAGTCCAGAAGCAGTGTCCTTTAAGCGTGCTCAGAGGGCGAGTTCACACTTCTCCCTCTAGAGGCTGATGACCCACATTTGGTACCAGAACAGTTCTGGGCCCAAGTGTTGGCACAATTTTGGGGAGAGGTCCACAGGGCAGGGTAGGGCTGGAATGATGCTGTCCTCCGGGGACATTGTGGTGGGCACCAAAGCCAAATTTATGTAATGAAGCTTCCATAAAAATCCAAAAAGAAGGGGTTTAGGTTCCAAGTTGGTGAACGCATGGAGATGTGGGGAGAATGGCATACTCAGAGGAAGCATGGAAGCTCCATTCCCCTGCCCACATACCTTGCCCTGTGCATCTATTCCTGGGTTATATCCTTTTATAATAAACTGGTGCTCTAGTGAATAAATGTTCTAAGAGTTCTGTGAGCTGCTCTGGCAAATTAAGGAGGTAGTCTTGGGAACTTTTTTTTTTTTTAAGATTTTATTTATTTATTTGACACACACAGAGAGAAATCACAAGTAGGGAGAGAGGCAGGCAGAGAGAGAGAGGGAAGCAGGCTCTCCTCTGAGCAGAGAGCCCAATGAGGGACTCCGTACCAGGACCCTAAGATCATGACCTGAGCTGAAGGCAGAGGCTTAACCCACTGAGCCACCCAGGCACCCAGTCTTGGGAACTTCTGATTTATAGCCTGTTGGTCAGGAGCACAAGTAACAACCTGAACTTGCAGTTGGCATCTAAAGTAAGGGGCAGTCTTGTGGGACTATGGGACTATTTATTAGATAATTTAGTAATTTTCTTTCCAATTACCTACCTGTGTTCTTTTTTTTTTTTCCCTAAGATTTTATTTATTTGATAGCAAGATGGTGAGTGAGAGAGTGCATGGGGGTTGGGGGGAAGAGCAGAGGGAGAAACAAACTCTGCTGCGCAGGGAGCCTGAGGCAGGGCTCTGATGGACAAGGCAGATACTTAACCAACTGAGCCACCCAGGCGCCCCTAAAATAATCTTAAATTCTCCATGCAGAACTGTACCTGCAATCACTGATAAATGATAATCACTTATCAGCAAGGACATGGGAACCTAGGGTTGAGATGCCCCTTTATCTGGAAGTTCAGGGGTGCCTGGGTGGCTCAGTGGGTTAAAGCCTCTGCCTTTGGCTCGGGTCATGATCTCAGGGTCCTGGGATCCAGCCCCATTTCGGGCTCTTTGCTCAGCGGGGAGTCTGCTTCCCCACCCCCCTCTGCCTGCCTCTCTGCCTACTTGTGAACTCTGTCTGTAAATAAATAAATAAATAAATAAAATCTTTAAAAATTAAAAAAAAAGTTATCTGGAAGGTCAGACGTTCTGCAGACTTCTGCAACTGTGAAAGTTATATCCAGTCACCCAAACTAAAATAGCATTAAGGTTGGTCTTTGTTTGAGATAGATGTCAATTTTCTCAATAGAATTGAGTGTATTGGGTTTTGGAATGTAGGTGAGGTTCAGTGGGGTGAGGTCCAGAGCTGACGACCAGGAAAGAATTCTTGAGATGTCTTTGGTACAAAATGGTGGCTTTATTAAAGCAGGGGGGCAGAAAGAGCTGCTGTGCGGGGGTGGGGTGGGGGGGGGTTTGTGAGGGGTGGCTGGTTATATACTATGGGGTTGAAGGAGGTAAGGAAAAGGAAGGTCTCAAGGATTTTCATATGTTAAAGAAGACTCACAGGATACCAGAGGCCTTGCCATAGTCAAGTTAAGATTGTTTTTCCCTTTAGCAAGGTATTAACGTGAAGATAGTTGGGACCTTCCGGGAGGAACATTACATTCTGCCTGCTTCCAAGTATCTGTCAATGGGCCGCAGGTTATAAGGACCTTAACCTTATCTACATTTCCTTCTGGAAGCTGGGTTATTGATAGAAATGTAAATTGCTAAGAGTTTTGTAAACTGAGGGCCACTCAGGTCTTGCAGGACTGTGATCTACGTTAACTGTTTGTTTTTCCTTCCCTTTCCTTTGCTTTAGGATAGCCGGAGTGTCTGAGGAAATGCCACGTATATCTCATGGGAAGGGGGGTGTCAGCTTCTGACTCGTCCTTAGTTTGCCTTCTGTTCCCTCACCAAGTGTACCTTAGAATATCGAGTGAGAAATATAGGGATAAAAATGGGCAGGACACAACCACTAATGCTACAGGCAAGGCGCAGATTTTCTGTGGGAGCCAGAGACAGAGATCCTGCTTGTTCACCAGCTTAAGGGCGGCCTGACATCTTCTTCTTTATTCCCAGTCAGGGTCCTGTGTAAAGTTTTCCCCTTGCGCCTGGCCAATCATAAGAGAACACACAAAACTGACAAATGCATCAGCTTACATGCCTTTCAGAGGAATAACAAAATGCCTTCGGCTGTGCCTGGACCATTTTATGTCCGAATGACTCTGTCGAATGATACGGCCATTCAGATCCGTGGATTTCAGAGCATTTCAGTAACAGTATTAGCCTCTGGGAGCAGGCTGACTTACGGATATGAAGTGATGCCTTTTCTCTGCAGTTCACAAAGCGCAAATCCCCTCCCCCTCGCCCCTAGGCGTGCAGCATCCCTCAAGGAGCCGCACGGCCAAAGCTCTGATTGGTCAGGCAGGAGAAAAGCCCTTGCCTTGGCCGCTGGGGGGCTCCAACTACAGTACCCAGAAAGTCCTGCGCAGAGTTTAGCCAGTGGAAGCACTTCCGCGGGAATACGCCTCGTGGGGGCGGGACTTCCGGCCTCCTCCTTGTGGCGGCCATTTTGCTGCTCTCGGGCGTGCCGGGGCGGGACCGAAGTGACGGAACTGTCAAGGCGCAGAAATCGTTGTCCCCACGGCAGAGAGGCGGGTCCGCGGCTGGCGACGCCGCCCGGACTGCCCCGCGCGGGGGCCGGGACGGGGACCGCCGGTCCAGGTGTCCACTCTGCCCATAGGGTTCGATGGCGGCGGTCGCGCCCAGGGACCCGGCTCAGGTAAGCGCTCGTCCCCCGGGTCCTCCCCAACCAAGACTCCAAAGGCCCGAGCGCGGGGCGCCTGCTCGCGGCCCTGCGGCCCAGGGCCCGGTGGGCGGGGGCGCGTGTGTGAGCGCCGGCGGGCTGCGTGCGGGAGCGGGCTCCGAGCTGAGGGGCCGGCTGGGGCGGGGGCTTCAGGGGGCCTGAGGCGGGAGGATTCTGCCCTCAGGGGACGGGGGGACGGAGAGCGTGAGGCGAAGTCCCCTGGACTGGCGTGCCGCGGTGCGGTACCTTCGCTCCTAGGGCCCTGGAGGGTCGTGAGCAGAAGAGGGACGTCGCCTGTGTTAGGGTGTTAGCGGCTTTCCAGAAGCTGCGCGAGGGAGCACAGGCTGGAATGGGGGTGATGACGACGAGGGAGCCCTGGGAGTGGAGTTCTTGTCGGAGGTCGCAGAGCTGGTGGGAGGAGCACTGAGGATTGAGGCCCTGAGATTAGTTAGCCCGAGGTCACTGGGTTCCAGGGCTGGGCGAGATGCAGGGGAGGCCTCGTGTCGTGGAGCCCAGCCCTGGTGTCCTCCCCTCAATCGCAAGCTGTGAAGGATGTGAAAGCACTTAAGAACCTATACAAGTAAAGAGAGGTTGCCTCAGTCCCTTACCGGTCTTGACATCGCTAGTATGGTGTCCAGGACTGTGGTGTCTTGAGGCTCTTCCCTTCCTATTTTTCCAGCTGCTGGGTGTGGGCACCCTGAGCATACCCCAAGCCCGGGGTCCTGAGTGCAGGCCAAGGGGTATGTGCATGTGTTCCTGTTGTTGTCAGCCAATATAAAGAGATGTGCAAATGCTTGAACCTGTTTTCATTTTCCCTGCTGGGATCAAAGAGCTGAGGGTCAAGAATCAGGTCTCTAATGTGGCTGTTGAGAATTTGGGCATCTTTTAGGTAGGTCATGAGAGGTTTGGATCAGGGGGATGGTGGTCTTACCTAAGTCTTAATGGGGTCCATCTCATTACGGAATGGATAACAGACTGTGGAAGTAAGGGAGGAGGCAGGGAGCCCAGGAGGAGGCAGCTGCTGTAATCCAGATTGATGAACCAGAGTGGTGGCCATAGAGGTAGGTGAAAAGTTGGACTCCCTGTGCATTTCTTTTTAAGAGGGGTGGATTTTTTGATGTTGTAGTTCAGAGGAGAGAAAGGGAAGAGTCCAGGATGACCCCAGGGATTTTGGTCCTCGAAGCTGAAGGGATGGAAGTTCCATCAACTGGGAGGGGTAATTGATGGTAGGTTAATTTTCTCTGGGACTATGAGGAGTTTTGTTTGGTCCTCTTAAGAGTCTGAGGTGTTTCAGAGAATTGTGAGTAGAGATAGCAAATGCATATCTGGACTCACAGGTCTGGGTATCTTGGGAGGAGGTTTGGGTGAAGACATCCAAAAGTGGTGACTGTTGTGTGGACCAGGTGGAACTGTGGGTTGCATTTAGATTGAGGAATGCGGGTCATCATGACAATGCCTTGGCTGGTCAGCTAGAGGAGGGTGCGAGATGAGCAGTAAGTGTCTTGCTGTGCACCTGATCAGTGTTGCTGATGAAGGAGGGAAGTGATCATGGTAACCATATGGGAGAGAGAGAATGGTCTGGTAGGTGATCAAGGCTTCCATGGGGTGAGTGGACATGAGATGGCTGGGGAGGCATGGGAGTAGTTGAGACAAGATGACACTGAAGCCAGGCTCCTGCTTATTCACTACTGAAGTTTCACTGGCATTTTATGGTGAGCTTTGGTGGGGTCTACGGTGTTCGGTCTTGATGGTGGATAGGTCTGGGGCAGACTTTAAAAAGTGGTGGCTATTGTGAGGACCAGGATGGAACTGTGGATCACATTTAGGAAGTGCAGTGTAGGTTATAGTGGTAATGCTGTTTGCAGGTTGGAAAGACTAGGGTGCATGCTAAGAATGATGAACCCAGGGGAGGGAGAGAAGTGATGGTGCGAATGGTGTGGGAGAGAGGATGATCTGGGAGGTGGCTAAAGCTTCCATGGGATGTGTGGGTGCAAGATGGCTTCAGAGGCAAGAGAGTAATTGAAGGAAGATGAAACCGAGGGCAGGGCTTCTGCTAATTCACTACTGTATGGATTTACCAGAATTTTGTTGTGAGTTTTGATGGGGTCTGGGGCGTTTTGGTCTTGGTAGATAAGATCTGGGGTAAATGTAGTCATTTGTGAGAGTCCTTATGCCTAAGGGAGACTCTAAGGGAGGGAGACTCTAGGACTGGGGTTTTAGGGCAGGTTGAGTGGAGGGTTGGGATTTGGGACTGCTGAGAGGACAGCACGTGCAGCACGGAAGTGGAAGTGGGCCATGGGCATTTGTAATTTGTATGTACCTCTGGCTAGTATCAAAGCAAGGATCGGAGGTACAGAGGAGGCCTTCAAAGCAGAATCCAGGGCTTTGGCCAAAGTAGAGCTATGGGAGTGCAGCTGAGGGGACTGAAGATGTTTCCAGAACAATGTGCACAACAAGAGGAAGCGTGAGCCAAGGGCCTCACTGTGTTGGAGCTGAAGGGCAGAGAATGAGCCCGCATTTCATTGTGTCTTGGGAGTCTCAAAATAGAGACCCTGGGGGAATGGACAGTAGGGACCCTCCACTCCAGGAGGAATTTGGTGACATCTCTGTTCCCTCTGCCTGATGTCGCTGAGGGCAGAACGGACTGAATAAAGAGAAGCCGAAGATAGGGTGGGCGTTAGTGGCACCTAGGCCTGGTGTTTCTGAAGCTCTGAAAGAGGGTGAGTGTGGGATACATGTGTGGTGAGATGGACTGTGGGACCTCAGGATGTTCATGGTTTCATCTGTCCCCATCATAACAGGATAGTGTGACCTTTGAGGACATTGCTGTGTACTTCTCCTGGGAGGAGTGGAGGCTTCTTGATGAGGCTCAGAGATGCCTGTACCACGATGTGATGCTGGAGAACTTTACACTTGTATCCTCACTGGGTAAGGCCCTCCCCCTCCCCAGTGGTCTGAAGTAGGCTCTGTTCCCTCCCCGCCCACCATCTCGCAGTGTCTCTCACATGTGGACCGTGGGCATTGCTTGCTTCTCAGCTTTCTGGGTAATTGCTGTGTTGATAGGGCTGGTTTATTTGCACTGCCGTCTTCTCTCCCCCACAGCCTCAACACCTGCTATACTGAACCCTCTTAGAAAGGGTTCAGGGTTAGTAGATCTTTAGTGAGCTTCATGGATTCCGCCATGCTTGGCCTTTGTTTGGGTCATTGTGCACAGATCCATGTCACTTCTGTATCCTAGCATTTGTTTGTTTGTTTTTAAAGTAAGCTCTGTACCCTTGGGGCTTGAACTCGTAACCCACGTGTCAAGAATTGCGTGCTCTACTGACTGAGCCAGGCTCTGTTTTCCAGTTTTGGATCTTTTCTCTTAGCCGCCACTTCCTTGTGTCTGCTTATGCCAGCTTTGCATGCATTGTCATAGTCACTACTTACCTGAACCACAGGCTGCTTTTCAACACACTCCTGCAAGGTTTGTAGTTTAGGTGCATTTTCTCCACACACACACATCCCCAGCCTTCTGGAGATAGAAAATTATATAAAAGTGCACAGGGGGTGCCTGGGTGGCTCAGTCAGTTGAGCATCCAACTCTTGGTTTTGGTTCAGGTCTGATCTCAGGGTTTTGAAATTTAAGCCCCAAGTCTGGTTCCACACACAGCATGGAGTCGGCTTGTCCCTCTTTCATCCTCCGCTTGTGCTCTCTGTCAAATAAATATGTAAAATATTTAAAAATATACATATTAAAAAATTAAGTGCACAGTGTGATGATTTGATACATGCATACATTATAATATAATTTCCACAACCCAAGTTCATTAAATATCACCACCTTGTAAAATTACATTTTTTTTTGTAGAAATGCTTAAATTTACTCTTAGTAGATTTCACGAATACAGGATCATTAATTGTAGCCACCGTGCTGTAGGTTACATCTTCATAACTTCTCAATCTTACTTTTTAAATTTTTAAAATATTTATTTCAGAGAGAGTGAGAGAGAGCATGAGCGGCAGGGCGGGGGAGGGAGAAGCAGACTCCCCACTGAGCAGGGAGCCCATTGTGAAGCTCGATCCCAGGACCTGGGGATCATGGTCTGAGCCGAAGGCAGATGCTTAACAACTGAGCCACCCAGGTGCCCCAAGAGTCGGACTCTTAACTGACCGAACCACCCAGTGTTCCTGCTTATACTATAGTTTACTAAGTGTGTCCCAGAGCATTACGTCTAGAAAAAGAAATGTACATTTAAAAATATTTTACTGCTGGGGTGCCTGGGTGGCTCAGACCGTTAAGCGTCTGCCTTCGGCTCAGGTCATGTTCCCAGGTTCCTGGGATTGAGCCCCGCGTTGGGGGTCTCTGCTCTGCGGGAAGCCTGCTTCTCCCTCTCCCACTCCCCCGGCTTGGGTTTCCTCTCTCACTGTGTCTCTCTCTGTCAAATAAATAAATAAAATCTTTTTAAAAAGAAATTTTTACTGCTGAAAAATGCTACCGTCATCTGAAATTCCAGGTAGTATCTTCTTTGCTCCTGAAGGGTCTTGCCTTGATATCAATAGCTGCTGACTGGTCAGGATGGCAGCCTGCATGGTTAGGGCAGCTGTGGCAGTTGCTTAAAACAAGACAACAGTGAAACTTGCTGCGTTGATTGACTCTTCCTTTCCTAAGTGATTTCTCTGTAGCAGCTGATTTCTCTGTTCTATGGCGTTTTACCCACAGTAGAACTTCTTTCAGAATTGTAGTCTGTCCTCTCACACCCTGTTGCTCCTTTATCAATGAAGTTTATGTAATAGTCTAAATTCTTTGTTGTCATTTCCGCAGTCTTCATAGCATTTTCACCAGGAGTAGTAGATTGCGTCTTTTTGAATTTCTAAAAAATTTTAACTCCAGTATAAGTAGTGTTTTTTAAACATGTTTTTAAATTTTAGATTCCATCTGAATAAACTTTCCTTGCTCATCCATACAAAGCAACTTCTTATCCATTCAAAAATTTTTTTTTAATTTTAATTTTTTAAAATTTAAATTCAATTAATTACATATAACGTATTTGTTTTAGGGGTACAGGTGTGTGATTCATCAGTCTTCTATCCATTAAAATGTTATCATGAACTTGTAGCAGTTCAATCATATCATCAGGCTCCATTTTTTAAAAAAATTCATTTATTTATTTATTTGACAGAGATCACAAGTAGGCAGAGAGGCAGGCAGAGGGAGAGGGGGAAGCAGGCTTCCTGCTGAGCAGAGAGCCCAGTGCAGGGCTCTATCCCAGGACCCTGAGACCATGCATGACCTGAGCCAAAGGTACAGGCTTAACCCACTGAACCACCCAGGTGGCCCTTTTCTTTTCTTTTTTTTTTTTTTTTAAGATTTTATTTATTTGGGGAGAGCGAGCAAGAAAGTGGGAGGAGGAATGGAGGGAGAGGGACAAGCAGACTTCATGCTCAGTGCAGGGCTCAATCCCAGGTCCCTGAGCCCATGATCTGAGCTGAAATCAAGAGTTGGATGTTCAACCGAGTCATCAGATGCCCACAGGCTCCACTTCCAATTCTAGTTCTCTTGCCATTTCTGTCACATCTGCAGTTACTTTCTCTATGGATGTCTTGAACCCTTCAAAGTCATTCATGAGGGTTGACATCAACTTCCAAACTCCTATGGATACTTTGACCTCTGCCACCCATGAATGGCAGCTAGAATGATGCATCCTTTCCAGGTTTTCGATTTACTTTAACCAGATCCATCAGAAAAACCACTATGACACCCCTTGCCTTATACATTGTTTGTTTCTTTCTTTCTTTGTCTTTTTTCATTGTTGTTAAGATTTATTTATTTGAGAGAGAGGGAGAGTGCCTGTGCATGTAGGGGGTGTGGAGAGCAGAGGGAGAGGCTGTGTGTGGAGCCTGATGCAAGGCTTGTTCTCAACAAATTGTATTTCTTTCTTTCTTTTTTTAAGTTTTTATTTATTTATTTATTTAAAAGATTTTATTTATTCGGGCGCCTGGGTGGCTCAGTGGGTTAAAGCCTCTGCCTTTGGCTCAGGTCATGATCCCAGGGTCCTGGGATCGAGCCCCGCATCGGGCTCTTTGCTCAGTGGGGAGCCTGCTTCCTCCTCTCTCTCTCTCTGCCTGCCTCTCTGCCTACTTGTAATGTCTGCCTGTCAAATAAATAAATAAATAATCTAAAAAAAAGATTTTATTTATCTGTTTGATAGAGATCACAAGTAGGTAGAGAGGCAGGCAGAGAGAGAGAGGAAGGGAAGCAGGCTCCCCGCCGAGCAGAGAGCCCAATGCGAGGCTCGATCCCAGGACCCTGAGGCCATGACCTGAGCCGAAGGCAGAGGCTCAACCCACTCAGCCACCCAGGTGCCCCATTTACCATTTTTTGATAATGTTAAATGTTACATGGGTGCGGTTCATGGCCTTCAGAACAATTACAATAGTAATAAAGGTCTCTTCTGGAAACATTTGAAATATTGCAAGAATTACGAAATTTGATACAGACATGAAGTGAGAAAATGCTGTTGGAAAGATGGTGCCAGGGCGCCTAGGTTGCTCAGTGGGTCAAGCCTCTGCCTTTGTCTCAGGGTCCTGGGATCGAGCCCCACATTGGGCTCTTCGCTAAGCAGGAAGCCTGCTTCCCCCTCTCCCTCTGCCTGCCTCTCGCCTATTTGTGATCTCTCTCTTCAAATAAATAAATAAAATCTTAAAAAAAAAAAAAAAAAGATGTTGCCGATAGACTTGCTTGTTGCAGCCTTGCCACACCTTCACTTTGTAAGAAACACAGTATATGTGAGGCATCATAAAGCAAAATTGCTGTAAAACTAAAAAATAAATAAATATGCCTATACTCTCTGTTTCTGTGATTTTGGCTTTTTTTTTCCTTTTTTTTTTTTTTCTAATTATTCCAACCACAGTGCACAAGGCTTCCTTCTACCTTCACTCTCACCAACACTTGTCTCTGCTCTTTTTCTTTGTTTTAACTTTTTTAAATTTATTTATCTGACAGAGATCACAAGTAGGCAGAGAGGCAAGCAGAGAGAGAGGGCGGAAGCAGGCTCCCCACTGATCAGAGCCCGATGCAGGGGCTCCATCCCAGGACCCTGGGATCATGACCTGAGCCAAAGGCAGAGCTTTAACCCACTGAGCCACTCAGGTGCCCTTCTGGTCTTTTTGAAGGTAACAATCTTACCAAGTGTTGGATGATACATCAGTGTGGTTTCAATTTGCATTTTCCTGATGAGTGGGGAAGAGCATCTTTTCATATACCTTTTAGCTATTTGTAGATTTTCTTTAATGTCTGTTCAGGCTCTTTACCTATATATTAATCTGATTGTTTTTTTGTTACTGAACTATGTGAGAACCTTATATATTTTAAATGTTAACCATTATGTGGTAAAGTGTTTGCAAATATTTTCCCCCTTTATATATTGTTGATTGTTTCCTTTGCTATGCAGATTATTTTTAGTTTGATGCAGCTTGATATGAATTTATTTTTTTTTTTTTTTTAAGATTTTATTTATTTGACAGAGAGAGAGAGAGCACAATGAGGCCAAGAGGCAGGCAGGGAGAGAGGGGGAAGCAGGCTCCCCACCGAGCAGAGAGCCCAATGCAGGGCTCGATCCCAGGACCCTGAGATCATGACCTGGGCCAAAGGCAGAGGCTTAGCCCACTGAGCCACCCAGGCGCCCCTGACTTTATGTTTTTGATGTAATTTGACTTTATTTTTGTCTTTGTTGAATGTGCTTTTTGTTTCCTATCTGAAAACTCAGTATTAAGACCAGTGTCAAGGAGTTCTTTCTCTGTTTTTTCCCCCCAAGAAGTTTTACATTTTCATGTCTACATTGAAGTCTTTAATACATTTGAGGTAATTTTTGTGAGTGGTGTAAGGTAGGGTCCAAGTTTCTTTGTTTTGTTTTGTTTTGTTTGGCATGTACATGTCCAGTTTTCCC